TATACCTAAGCTAACTGCAGTTTCGGCCTCTCCCAAGAATGTGACCTTTAACCAGTCAACCTGGAATTCCCTTGTCAGCCCTAGTTAGGTGACCCACCCGAGAGACCCCTCCTCTTCCCCTTAGGAGGAGACCTTGCCTGAAACAATACATTCTTTGCTAATAACTGTCTTTTCCTGCCCCCTTTCTAACTTTCAAAACCTTCCATTTTGCATGGCCTTTTGGAACTTTTCTATTTGCTAGATGGGATGCTGCCTGATTTATGAGTCACTGAATAAAGCCGATCGATCTTTAAATTTGCTCAAATGAATTTTGTAACTTAACAGCCTACAGCTTCAGATGCTCCCCACTCAGCCTCCTAAAGAGTCCCCTGAGAGGACTCCACTGCAAGATTTCCTTTCACCTCCTTGGCTTGTCCCTGGCCCTCTTCTTGCTGTGCCCTCATACGGCCTTTTCTCCCCGTAGGCTTATCCCTGGCGTCTAATCCTCTTTTTACAAGAGAACCAGTCCTAATAGAATAGGGCCCCACCCTCACTACCTCGTTTAACCTTAGTTACTCCTTTAAAGGCCCTATCTCCAAATACACTCATTTGGGGGTTAAGGCTTCTACATACGAAAAGTAGCATGTTAATAAATACTAGTGGTAAGTATAGGCAAAGGAGTTAAGTTAGAAGGCTAACAGGCAAAGAACATTTAACAATTTGAAAGTATCCTCCACTTGGCCGCAAGAATTTCTAAAAGTGAATTTTATAAAAAAAGTTTAGAAGCTGCCAACTGCATACTGTAAATGCAATATTTCTAAGAACGATTTAAAACAAACGAAAAGCTCTCAGTGAAAACATTTAAAAGTGCTAAAATGCAGAGTTCAATGAATTGAATACTGACACTTTTTATGAGCTGATGATTTTTCCCCAAAGTGCTAAAATGCAGAGTTCAATGAATTGAATACTGACACTTTTTATGAGCTGATGATTTTTCCCACCTGATTAAACCTTCACAAACCCATCATCTCCCCTGTGACAGCTAACGGAGGAAGACTTCACCTACTTTCTCCGCTTTACTCACCACGCCCCGATCACACACTAGACTACAAAAGCTTTCGTCTTCCTTCGGTTTTTCAAATTCCACATATGCCTTTCCAACTCCGAGAATTCCCAGGTCTTCTCCCCCTTCCCCACTGAAATGTTGTCTTTCCACCTTGCTTTGAATTTTAAATAAATCTTATAGGGTCAGCATAAATTCAAATCCAAACTGGTTTTCGACCCTAACCTCCTACACACTGAACTTTCTGTGAAAGGGTTGCAATCTGAAATGGAACCGGCAGATATGAGATGGAAAATCTCAAACATGCACCCTCAGAAGGGAACTTGAAAACTGAGAGGCTGATTTCTCATAAATGCCTGATTTACGGAAGATCGAAACTTAGCTCCTGACCAATGAACACCTGCCAAAAACCTCCCATCCTCAAGCCAACGAACTTCCTGCATGGACTCCAGCTGGACTCTCCCCTTTCTGCACTCATTCCCCATAAACACAGCCTGCCTCAAACCTTCAATGGACTTGCCTGTAGCCTGCCAGTTGGCACGAATTGCAATTCATCTGCTATTCCTAAATAAACACAATTTCTGGCAATTTGAGTTTCCTGAGTTTGCCTCTTTCTTTAGGTTGACAATTCCCGATATTATTATGAAATTCCCTGAACATCTCCAGTGATCAACATTATTCAACTTACGAAAAATTAGTTTTTAGGAATTTTGAGTAATGTTCTTGTTTCGAACAATAAGTAGAGTTATTAACATTGTTATTCAATTTTGAATCAAAATGTCCCAGAATAAAGCATGTCAAATGTGAGCCTACGAATATATATAGTTTGTTAAATAAATGGTGGGATGTTCTGGAGGAAACTTATAGCCCAGAAATGACACTCGGAACATTTGTTTTTCTTACTCGACAAATAAAACAGAACTGAGAGAACTGGGTGTCGCTGCCAAAGAGCATGGAGAGATGAATGTCGGGGAGCCTGGGCCCACCAGCACTGAAGCGTCCATCAGAGCATAGCATGGTTTCACGGTCAGGATTATGAAAAAATATTAAGCAGGAGGGAGAGTAAAAGCAGATAAGACACATTCCCCAGGATGAAAACTGTGCTCAGGACTGTGGTCTTTTGGGGAAATCTAGGGGAAAGCCTGAGATGAAGGTATTGGATTCTCAGCTCGTGCGTAAGTAGGACAAGGACCATGGGGAGCCACTTGGCCAGTCATGAGGCCAGGTGACATAATGTCAATAAAGGATGACAGGAATGTAGTTCTTTCTGGAATGTCTGAAAAACAGTATCCACGAATTCTTTCCTGTACTGTTTTTCCTTTCTTGGTACAGTTTATTCAGTGATAAAATTATTTAGCAAGACCTGCAGAATCCAGCAAAGAAAAGAGAAAAATTCAGTGCACTTTGGCCATGCCATTCTGAGTTCCATCCACCTCTAAATACTGACACAAAGTTTAATGGCCATAAAGCCACTGGCTCTGCCTGCTCTGTGAAAATAAAGGACGTTTATAACCAATTCACCTAGAAAATATTTCTTTCCAAAGCTGTTATCTTAGCGAAGACCAAAAGATTTGGCAAAAACAAGTTGTTTTACCAAATCGTTTGATAGATAATCTACCCATTATCGCTAGTCTCTCTGAATCTTTTTTATAAATAATAACACCCAAAAATATTATGCTTCAAAGTTCCATCCAGTAAATTTTGTTCATGAACCATTTCTCATTCACACCTGAGATAACAGATAACACATATATTGGTGTCTGCCCCCCAGTTTCTGACAGAGTTCCTAAAACCCTTAGGAATTCCTAAATGCCAAAAGCACTCAGAACATCGTTTTCCTAATACTTTATATTTGATCCCCACCCCAGAAGTTCCTGATGCAGAGTTCCTAAATGCCTTGAAAGTTCCCAGGAGATAAGAGCGTTTTTGTTCTAATGAGATTAACTCTGGGTGGCTCCTGGAAAAGCACTGGTCACCAGAAAGACAAAGCCATGATGGCAAGCTCAGAATTGTCAGCACCTCCCTCCAATCTCCAGAGAGTAGAGAGGGCTAGAAATGGAGTTAATAATGGATCATACATATTTATTGATACCTCCGTTAAAAAAACCCAATACTATGGGGCTTAAGGGGGCAGATATACCCTAACCCCTTCTCGCAAAATTGAGGCTAACGGTAAATGCAGATACAGTTCCTAGTGGTAAGAATAGCCTATGGTTCTGCACCTAAATGAATTTATTTTAGAGATGATTTTTTAAAATAATTTTATTTTTAATTACATACAGCAATAAAATTATTGTATTTGTTTCAAAGTGTACAATACAGGGGTTAAAAATTATATAACTTATGACGTGATCCATCTGACACCATACATGGTTATTACGATATTATTTACTATATTCGCCATGCTGTGCTTTGCTTCCCTGTGACTTTTTTGTAACTGGCAAGCTGTACATCTTAATCCCATCCCCTTTTTGAACTACCTCCCAAACACTCCTCGCTGGAAAAGACATGGCTCTAGAATGTGGTCAGGGCTACAGGGAGAAGAGATAATGGCTCCTTCCAGGTGGCATCTTCGTCACTTGACAGGCCTGAAATAAGAGGACAGAATGGAGGAGGTGGCTGTGGGTCCCTTGCATGGAGGAGAGGCGAGCCTTCAGGCAATCAGACCAAGATCCTGCGGGGTTCGAGTATTACATTCAAATATAAGGTTCCAGGGTTCGCATCCAGCTGTCCCCACTCCTGCAGGGTGAACGTTAGACTCATGCACCTGTAACACTTACAGATTCCAAATGAGGCATCACGTTCACCACGGAAGATAGCTAAGAGCGTTTCACCTAAATCACTGGTAAAGGTGGACAGACCCAGACCCAAATCAACCGGGGATCCTGAGGGCCCAGAGCTAGGCTCCAAGGGCAGGGGCGGCTATCCAAATGTAGCTGCGGCTCAAATAAGGTTCCCGGATGAAACCACTGGAGACGCGCAGAAGACAGACGGCACGTGCTCTGCGACGTCGTTGGAATTAAGAGATGACCACGATGACAACTCCACAATGGAAACGGCATCATCGGCAGCTGAGCCTCCCTGATTGGTCCTCGCCTGCCACCAGCCCCAGGCTGAGGGCTCCACACACCATAGTGACAGGATTGTCCCCAGCTCTGGGGCCAGACTCCTGGGTTTGAATCCACCCTCTTGAATCTAAATCTGACACTTGGCTGTTGTGTGACCTTGGGCAACCCACTGCAGCTTTCTGATCCTCCATTTCCCCAACAATCCAGTAATGGTAACTAATCCGCAGGGTGTTGAGAATGAGAGAAAATACTCAGAAGCAAAGCTCAGAACCCTGGCATCGGGAAGTGTTTGCACCATATCGTTCCCTTCATCGAACCTGCAGGGGCCAAGGTTAAGTGCCTTCATCGCTTCCATGTCAGTCAGGGAAGTGAGTGTTGGGGTGGGCTGGAGTTGTCCAGAGTGTTCCTGGTGGGGACCCCACACTGAGACCTCAGTGTCCTGAAGCCACCTCCTCAATGTGGTGCAGTCTGTGTGGACTGCAGCCTATCAAGGGGTTCTGAGAAGCCCCATTTTTTTATAGGTACCCGGGACAGAAGGTCCCAGGAGCGTCGGGACTGGGGATAGCACCCACAGGTGACAACTGGTGATATGGCCACTGCACAGGGTAAGGGCGTGTCAGCTCCTCCAAAGGCCCAGTGCGGGGCTGCTCTCTATCCCCGTTTTACACAGAATGAAACTGAGGCCCTAGGAGGGTGGACCAGTCGCCTGTCTTCATGTCGACGGTTAGAGATCTAGAATTGACCCCTGGAGTACATGGCTCAGGATTTGGGGAGGCCAATCAATGATCTCCCTTTGGTTCGGGGATGGCTTTGGCTCCCAACCAATACACGTCCATCCTCGGAGCACCTGCTCCAGCATAACCTTCAGATAACAGGCCAGAAAACAGAGGAACGTTACAAAGGAGGCTTTATTATATTGAACTTACAAAGGGCATGACATGTTCATCAGGCAGATTAATCTTTAAACTGAAAGACCGATGCCTCATTCCACTGTGCACACCATAAAAATAAGAAAAATTAGGAAATAGTTTTCAAGTATTGAAAACAGTTATTCCATAAAGCAAGAGTCAAGGAGTAAGAGCGGTCGAAACTGCAACACACATCTTTGTTGTTTCTCTGTCCTACATGTTAAAGAGAAATAGTCAAAGCTCATAGAAGAACAGGTAAATCACATAAGCGCACTTTTACGAACACGTTTTTCTAAAAAATTATCTATGAGAAATACACATCTGCAAAAATGTTCATCAGGAATCCTTAAAAAAAAATTAAACATTCACACACCCCTGTCACTAAGACAGTACATTCTAAGTAATGGATGAAAGATTTTTTAAAAATTAGAAAAAAAGACATGTCCACAAATAGTCGAATGGAAAACTAATAATAGTATTTCCAAAGGTAATATTACTCAGCAAAAAAGTATTAAAGAAAGAGGAGGTATTCATACAGAATCATTGATGAATCTCAAAGTAGTAGTTAAACAAAAAATACACCAGGAAAAAAAAAAAAGTAAACATTTCATGATTCCAATCCTATAAATGCTAAATGTGGCAAAAGTATGGATTTTAAGTAAAGTGAATCAGTGGTAATTTGGAGAAAGGGATGAGAAGGAAACAAAAATTCTATAATTAAGTATACATTCAGTAGCAGATATGGTCATTAGTCTGACTCAGATCAGTGTTTCGCAGGTTCACACCTACGTCAAAACTCACAGAATGGTATACTTTCAGTATGAGCAGTTTCCTTCCCTATAAATCATACCTTAATAAAGCTGTAAAAAAACGGCTCTATGTTTAACAAAATCTGTACATCCCACTCTTAAGAACAAATGTTTCTGGACGCTATATTGACCCCACGAGCTCTCTCCTCATGACTTCTGGGGGTTGGTCTAGCCTTAGTAGAAACCAATATTGCTGAGCAATGAAGAATGTTTCCAGCCTGGTCGACAAAAATACCCACTGGGTTGCAAAAGCCACCACCTGCGAGTACAGGTCTGCCCTTTTACTACCTCTGTGCTCCCACCTCTGCAGTAATGGTCTTGAGTAGAACACCATTGACTAATGACAGGACTCCACAAATCAGTCAGAGGGAGAACAGGGGTAAGCTTTCTGAGCACACTGGAGCCATGCCCGATGCACATTGTTCGGGCTACCAAACGGAAGAGGTAAAATGCCTGCGGCTGTGTGACCTGGCAGTGACATAAATCTGGCAAGAGACCTGGGCAGGTGAGAAACAGCAACAGTACACATGCTTTAAAATAACAACCGTAAGAGTTCTCCCCACTGTGAATGTTTCTGTAAAACTCAAGTCATACATATAAATGCACAGAGTTTACGTCAGTGCTGTTACACTGGACAAGACAGCAGCACATTTCCTAAATCTATGCACTTATGCCGTGTGGAATTTCCAAATTCAAGAGGACGTAGATTTAGGGCCAAACAATATTTCACATCACTACATGCTTAAAGCCTTTAACCACTGTGAACTCTCTGATGAGGAGGAAATCCATAGCTACTAGGAAAAGATTTCCCACATTTACTGCACTCATGAGGCCCTTCTCCAGTGTCAACGCTCTAAACACAAAAGAAGGCACATCTACAGGTATAAGACTTGCCACATTCACTGTACATTAAGTCCTTTCTCCAGTGTGAAGTCTCTGATGACTACGCAGGGATGTTCCGCTGGTAAAAGACTTCCCACAATCGCTGCACCCATAAGGCCTTTCTCCAGTGTGAACTCTCTGATGACGACGCAGGGATGTTCCGCTGGTAAAGGACTTCCCACAATCACTGCACCCATAAGGACTTTCTCCAGTGTGAAGTCTCTGATGACTACGCAGGGATCTTCCACTGGTAAAAGACTTCCCACACTCGCTGCACCCATAAGGCTTTTCTCCAGTGTGAACTCTCTGATGAGAACGGAGGGAACGACTATCGATAAAAGATTTCCCACATTCACTGCATTCAAAAGGCCTTTCGCCAGTGTGAACTCTCTGATGATAATGAAGGACAGTGCGACGAATAAAAGATTTCCCACATTCAGCACACTTATAAGGCCTTTCTCCTGTGTGAATTCTCTGGTGTATATTGAGGTGATTTCTTTGCCTAAAGGATTTCCCACATTCACTGCACTCATAAGGCCTTTCATCTATGTGAACGCTCTGATGAGAATGGAGGGAACGACTATCGATAAAAGATTTCCCACATTCACTGCATTCATAAGGCTTTTCTCCAGTGTGAACTCTCTGATGAGAACGGAGGGAACGACTATCGATAAAAGACTTCTCACATTCACTGCACTCATAAGGCCTTTCTCCAGTGTGAACTCTCTGATGAGAACGGAGGGAACGACTATTAATATAAGATTTCCCGCATTCGCTGCACTCATAAGGCCTTTCTCCAGTGTGAACTCTCTGATGATAATGAAGGAGAGTGCTACAAATAAAAGATTTCTCACATTCGGCGCACTTATAAGGCCTTTCTCCCGTGTGAACTCTACGGTGTCGAATGAGTATTGGTCCATTGGTAAAAGATTTTCCACATTCACTACATTTATAAGGCCTTTCTCCCGTGTGAACTCTACGGTGTCGAATGAGTATTGGTCTTTTGGTAAAAGATTTTCCACATTCACCGCACTCATAAGGTTTTTCTCCCGAGTGAACTCTCTGATGATAACAGAGGGCAGAACCCGAAGTAAAAGATTTCCCACATTCGCTACACTCAAAAGGCCTTTCTCCAGTGTGAATTCTCTGGTGTTTAGAGAGGTAAGACACGTGGCTAAAGGATTTCCCACATTCACTGCACTTGTAAGGCCTTTCTCCCGTGTGAACTCCTCGGTGTATAATGAGATGATTTCTTTGGGTAAAAGATTTCCCGCAATCACTACACTCATAAGGCCTTTCGCCTGTGTGAACTCTCTGATGATAACGAAGGCCAGAGCTAGAGGTAAAAGATTTTCCACATTCACTACATTTATAAGGCCTTTCTCCCGTGTGAACCCGCTTGTGTTCAGTTAAATGAGATTTTCGTCTAAAGAATTTCCCACATTCGGTGCACTCATAACTCATTTCTTCAGTATAGACTGTCTGCTGTTGAATAAGCACAGAGCTATCGCTAAAAGACTGCGCACATTCACAGCACATGTAACAATTTTCTCCCGTGTGACTTCTCTGAGGATAAATGAGGACAAATTTTCGGTTAAAGGACTTTCCACATTTGCCACACTTGTACTGCCTTGCTCCAGTATGAATTCTTCGAAGTCGACTGAGGTTTGAGCTTCTTCTAAAGGATTTTCCACAGTCGTCACACACATGAAGTCTGTCATCAGAGTGGATTCTTTGGTGAACAACAAATGAGGATTTGTTCTTGAATGTTTTCCCACATTCGTGGCACACAAAACACTGGCTTTCAGTGTGGATACCTGGGTCCTGAACGAATATGTGTTTGGGGCTGAAAACTCTCTTGCATTCTTCCCAAGTGTTGTGACTTTTTATACTTTGGAAAGTCACCTCACACTCGGAGATTTTGTTTAGCTGCTCTGTGGTGTGACTGGCCTGTTGCTGGAGAGGTCCTGCGTTGGTCAGGATGTCCTTCCTAACCTCGCTGCAGACTGAGGGCTTCTCTGACACATGGAAATTGCAGCTCTTCACAAATGAGGTTCTGTCCACACTGCTTACGAAGGGTTTTCCCCCCACGTGCTGCTCCTGGTGCTGCTGACAATTCGCACTGAAATAAAATTGTTTCTCACACGCCCCACACCTCAACAGTTTCTGGCTGTGCTGTGTTCCCTGGTGCTCGGGCAAGTGAAAAATGTCTCTTAAGACTGGACCACACATTTCACAGGGGTGGGTCCTCTGGGATGATGAAGGTTCCTTTGGAGTCCTGCCATGTGATGCTCCTACAGAAATGCTCGGTTCAATGGACGCCTCCACATCCTCTGCTCCACAGCAGCAACCTGAACGCAAAGAAATGCTGGTGAAGTACACGCTGACTTTATTGGAAAGGGACAACTCAACAACAAATGTGCAACTGAAAACCGAAACAGAGCAGAGGTAACTATGCTTATGTCAGACAAAATAAGACTTTGGGTCAAAAACTATCGCTAGAGACAAAGAATGTTATCAGGTAATGATAGAGCAGCCAATTCATCGAGAGGATATAACAATTATAGCTACATATGGACCCAATATCGGAGCAAGTAAATATATTAAGGAAGTACTTTCGGATCTGAAGGCCAAAATAGACAGCAATGCAATAATAATGAGAGACTTCAATACTCCACTTTCAGCAATGGATTGTCCAAAAATATCAATCAGAGAATAATGGATTTGAACTGCACATAAGAGCAAATCGACCTGACACACATGCAGAAGGTGTTATCCAACTGACTACAATTTCTTCTCAAGTGCACATGGAACATATGATAAAATAGATCATGTGTTAGGTCACAAAACAAGTCCTAACAAAGTCCTAACAAAGAAGACAGAAGTCATATCAAGCAGCTTTGGCAACCACAATGGTAGGAAACTAGAATTCATTCAGAGGAGGAAAGCTGGAAAAATCACGAACATGTGAAACTGAAACAACACACTCCTGAACAATCAATGGGTCAAAGAAGTCAAAAACTATATCCAAACAAATGAAAACAAAAAACTATATCCAAACAAATGAAAACGAAAACATAATACACTTTACAAAATGAAGGAAAAACCATGAGAGGAAGGTCTACAGCGATAAACGCCTACATTAAGAAAAATCTCGGAGTGGGTGGAAACAGGGTGGAGTGAAAGACATCCCCAGATCTCTCCCCTTGAAACAACAATAAGCTGAATATCTAAAACTTTAACAAAAAACACCCAAACTGCACATCAGCACGTCTGAGCATGGGATCTGTGCATAAGAAGTATCACAGGTTAGAAGCCCGGGTGTTGGGGGGTGGACTGGGAGTAATAAAGAAGCTGTCTTTCGCTGCCGCTGTAGCTTCCTGCAAAGGAAGGGGAGGGCTGA